GGGTCTACCCTTATTTAATCAAATTGGGGAAGAAGCATACTGAGGTGGCATTTTGAAAACACTATGTAACCCACTACCTATGAAAATATCCATACAGAGTATTTATATGTACATGTAAGAAATCTGATATCTTAGGTGTTTACAACACTTCCCGTGATACGAGAGAGGAATGGGATCTGCTAATCGGCGCCAGGCCTCAAGACATTTTAAGTCTCTCCAAGTACTCTTACACAATAATTTTTTTGAATAATAATTGCCTCTAGAGAGCAAGCAGTTGTACAGGAAAAAGTTGTGTCCTAAACTCTACTCTTTTCAGTCTAGCCTTTCAAAAGCTAAATATTTTACGGAGGCGGCATCTTTATAACGCTTATGGTCGAATGCTTTACTTTTTGGAGTCATGTCTCATCATTCACAAAATCTCATTCAATATCCAGTTTTAAAAACTTGGTTTTTCTAAGGTTTTTCAAGCATTCCCATCAGTGAGTAGGGAAGAGGGAAAAAAACAATCCACAACAACCAACATGATCTGTCCCTTCACTGATGTCCTCATTTTTATAGCTGTTCAACTGTACTTTTAAAGTCTGCAGTATATTTACAAACAAAATCAATACCAAGGCTGGGGGGGGGAGAGGGGTAACCTTTTGTGTCATCATCTTCCCCATCCTCATGGGGTCTAGATGTGTTTAAGGGCAAAAATTCCACCCCAATATATTAGTTTTGTTTATCCTTTGCCTATGATCTTGCGTGCCTGGCTAGGGAAATTATGCAAAAAGTAATAAAAGTTCTAATTCAATTTCCATGTTGAGAGAGGGATTTGGAAAAAAAAATAAAAAAATCAGAAGCCATATTCTTTGTGTTTACTAAGAGATATGCACTCCAACGTTTAGTGTCATGGAGCTGGAGTTAAAACCAGAAACGGCGAAGATAATTTAGCTGCATGAATGCCTGCTCTTCAGTAAAATGCTGCCAAAATTAAATAGGAATGAAACAGCACTTTGTAGTCATTGGTCGCTCAGCGGGGTTTGCGTAGTTAAAAACCTAAGTGAAAAGGGTGATTGACCTACATTGCAACTAGCTTAGCACAGCTGTACTTTCATATTTTTGCTGCATCCGAGGAAGCTCATTATTTAATACAACCGAGTTACGTGTAATTGTCGGGCTTTCATTTTACACTTCCAGGGGCCAGATATTAATCTGGAACGTGCAGCAGGCACTGCCGTGCATCTGGAGACATCCACGGCCGCCCATGTGCGGGCGAGGCTGAGAGACAGGATTTGCACGCGGTCGCACCTGAAATTAGGAGGCTGCCCAGGGGTAGGAGGACCTCCACAAATATGCAGAAATCAAACGAGCAGATGGAACAGAGAGCAAATCCCTTGGCACCCCAAAGGCAAAGGCTCCACTGTTTCCCTATTGTTTTGAGCAGGAGCAGCCCCAGAATGCGCAACCAAAGCACATTTCACACAACTCATACCTGCGGTTTAAATAAGTAATAACATTCCAGTTAACAACCAGTTTGACATGTTAACAGCCCAAGGGCTGTTAACATAATGACTGGTCATTAATGGCAGTAATGACAGATTTCAAAGGGAATATTGTGCTTGTAAATGGACACGCTGCCAGTCAGAAGAGAGGACTGAGCAGGATAGGCTGATACATTAAGATGTCACCATACAGCTCTGGAGGGAAAAAGGGGGAAAAAAAAAGTTCTTGCATATTTCACTTACTGTAAATGGACTTGAAATATTGGCGTAAACCTAAGTTCCTTAAATTAAGTCTTCACTTTCTAACCCAAGAGTGTATAAGCAGAAGACAGAAGCCTGCAGGGGAATTATACTCTGCATATCATTTTCACCGAGTGTGTTACTTCTAACATTGAGCCCTTTCTTTACTCAAGTCAGTTCTCATCCTCGTTAACAAAATGGAGTTCATTTCTGCTGCAGCCACCCTAATACCCTTGGTGTCCTACACCACCACTGAAACCACTGGAGTGCTTCACATGAATCAGATTACAGGGTAAAGCCTCTCACTCACACCCAAAGCATCTTCCAAGCTCGTTACCTCATTAAAGATTCCTTCCATCCCCTCAATCCCTCCCAATCCAGAGAAAAAGATTTTAATATAGTATAATTAACTAATTTTACCAAAGGAGAGAGCTAAAGCAAAGCGAGTTTTGAAGTTCTGAAGATACGGAGTATTTATAAGAAGCTCAAAGTGGGTACCTCAGGGCTCAACTGCAGCACAAGTGCGTGCATCAGGGCTGAGGGAGGGTTTAGTTTTTTTGGCAGGCATCTCTAAATGAAAGATACTGGAAGTATTTTTGCAAGGCAGGCAAAGACGCAATCGCACAGTTTATGAATTTAAACATGAATGTTAAAGCACCCAAACTGGCTACATTATTGCTTGTAGCATCTGTAGAATGGCTCTCTTATTGAAAGGCATAATGAACACTGAGAGACAAGTTAATAAGCAATTTTACTCTTTATAGTATTGTTCAAGCCCCATATCCTCTAGAGGGCACCACATAAATTAATAGGAAACCAGAACTGTTTTATACGTAGCAAAGACTCCCTTTATGGTTAAAAAGAAAAAAAACCAAAAGACTAAGAGGATAGTATGAAACCATAATCAAACCCTAATCTGATCATTAGTACAATGCAATTTGTTCCTTAAATTTATATCAAGTGTGTTGCTAAATATGAAAGCTTATTTGACTACAAAGCTAGAGAAAATTTAACTAGTTTCTACATTAGCATTAAAAAGATCATTTTTATAGGTTCACTGCATAACTAAGTAGATAAGATGCAATGAGGCAAATGACTATCTGCAATTACCTTAAGTGCATCAGTTTGAAGTTTAGTGTAAATACCTAGTTTAAATCTATGCACTCAAAAGTATTACTAAAAAAAAAAAGTTTGTGACAAAAGAGCTTCGTTAAGATCAAGAGACAAAAACCAGAAACATCTTAAAACCGACTACAGAATTTCTTATGTATCCTGGTTTCACTGGTACAAAATGAAAGGTGTTGTTTATGAAGAAATGACTGAAACACCAATCTTGAATGTGGTCATGACAGATAAAAAAATACAGTCTCCTTTCTCTGAATTGCTTAGCATGAATTTTAACAATCTATTAGCAAAATATTTACTCCTGTAAAACGTTCGAAGACCAGAGACCAACAGTGTGTATACGTGCATCTGTGTTGGGGAAATGCTTTGCTCATATCTCTACTACTAGATAATTTTGGTTTTGATTGTAAACATTTGATTTTAAAACATTAGATCAGCTGCACTAGCACTTGGGAGATTCAGTAAGTTCAAAGTCTCCAGTAAATTTGGAACTCAGATCAAACAGCCAGAGCAGAGTTTTCTCGCTCCTGCAGGCGTTTGTTGTATAAGGATTCTTAAAATGAGTTTTAAAAATTGGGATGCTACTTCGCCCCTGCCCCAGAAAGCTGTTCCAACCCTTCTCTTACACATTCACTTTAAGATCACAAGGGACCCAGGTTCACATATAACAATTCCCTTCTGTTCCCAACAGTTTTTAAAAGTGGGGTTTTATTACCTACTACTTTGGCAGCTTTAACACAATGGCCTTAAGATGCAGACTCTACACTAAATTCGCTGCACTCTGTTGTGGGTTCGATTCAGAGCTTTAAGAGGTAGCAGAGTACTTTTACCACTAAGCAATCTAAGCCCATGTCTGAAGAAGATGATCTGCCCTTGCAGCCCCAGCTCAACAAATGCACAGTACGTTTGTGAAGGTTTTTGTTCCACTCTAGACAAAAAGAGATCGTTACCGTGGACAGCCAGAGTACCAATAGTTAATGCTTTAGTCTTGATTCCTGTTCCAACCTACCCATGCTGTAGAATTTGGGAACTGATCAGTGTGTGGGAACCTTCTATTTGGTACCTGTATTTAAGCTGAACTTGTAAGTTAACACGTTCAAAAAGAATTTTAATTTTTCCCCAATGTATTACTGACTTCAACGTCCCTTTAAAAGGAAAAGGTTTCTCTAAAGGGGCAGGGGAAATATTCCCAGAAGTTCACCTTAGCCTGGAGCAGCTAGTCTCATTAGTCCCCCTCTACAGGGAATGGAGGAAAGGTACTACTATGGGAAATAGGTGCTCAGAATCACCCCAGAGGAGCCTTTTCTCTCTATTTACTGTTAAGAGCCCAGGGAGACTAAACTTGCTGATTAAACTTGGCTCCTGCAAAGTAGCCCTATTTATTGACATGTGCCCTGCAGATAAACTAACCTGGTGCTGATCATCAGTACTTTGCTCTGAGTTATTCCTCAGATACTTTTGAGGATGTGGGTCCACAAGCAAACAAGGCGACAGAAAATCAGGTGACAATTTGCTGCCTCTAACAAGTGGCAACAGGTCAGCCAGCATCCCACCCAGGACATGAAGTTAAGTTAAATGAGCAGAGTGATTGGAGCTTACTATACACATGATTTTTAAGCACAGGGAAGATAGCTGGTCATCTTGGTCCAGCTGCTAACAGCTGAAGGGCAACGTTCAAAAAAGCTTGAGAGCCACAAATGAAACCCCTTTGCAAACGAAGCGAAGACAGGTGAAACACTCCTCACTGACAGAGTTCAAACCCTGCACTGAAGGTGGATGAAAACCACGCATGTGGTTTCAGGTTGATATACCTGGCCACCACCGTGCTGCCAGGAGGAGGAGGAGGAGACCACTGTCTCCCCAGGAGCACAGTGCTGTGGGAATCATGGAGGGATTTACTCTCTTCTGCACGAGAGCACAGGACACCAGTATTGGCATCGGAAACCTGGCAGCCTCTGGCACAACCTAGCTGCACGTGCTTTCTGATTCAGATTTTAATTTTGTCTCCGTGTTTCAGTATTTGTTTCCTCATCCTCCACACATACTCCAGCCTTGCAGCCCTCGAGCGCCGCTTATGCAACACCAGCTACGTAGGAAGGACTGAACAGATTTTCCAAGTTTGCCGGTGAACGGAAGAAGGACGTGACCTACCTCAGATAGTCTCTGCGGCAAAGGATAAGGTTGGCTTTGGTGTACAAGGTAGAGCCCACCTCCCCCAGGCGACAGTCACAGCAGGCACATTTCAGGCAGTCCTCATGCCAATATTTGTCCAGGGCCTTTAGAAGATATCGGTCTTTAATCTTACGGTTGCAGCCAGCACAACCTTTCGGCTTGGTGTCTGGCTGGACTGAGAGCATTTGTATACCTGAAACACAATAAGACAAGGGTGAAAACAGATATTCTCTGAAGAAGAAAAACTCTTGCCCTTTTCTTCCTCCATCTCGCTGCTCCCCCTACGCCCCCTTCATTTAAAAGGTAACGGCGTAGATAGGATAAAATAACATAGACAGTCCACAGTAAGCTGGAAAAAATGCTAAGATAAATTTGAGAGTAGAAACTTCCATTACTCTAAGTTCCACAGCTTCTCTTTAACACCTCATTTACCTGGTCTCTTTGCTGAAAAGAAATAAGATTAAAAAAATTAAAATGAAATATTAAAAAAGTTCAGTTGAAAAGTCATCCACTTTCAGCCCAAGTATCCAATATGTAACAACACAAAATTCAAATAAACAGCACATCTATGATAGCAAACACAGCTAAATCCACATATTTGGACTTATTTTCACTATCTTTATAAATATAAAAACACTCCAGATTCTAAAGAAGAAAAGACTGAAGCTTTTAGAGGCACAGGGACAGAGTTTCGGGGAGGTTTGGCATAGAAATTTTGATGCTGGTGGGGGGACGTTTTATTTTTTTAAGATTTCAAGTCTTATTAGAAACATTAACGAAGTGATGAGATTTCCAGACACTTCAGTAGCAGCATTGTATTTACAACTTGCAGTGTAAAGACCTTCTGAAAAATCTGATTTTAAATAACCTGCATGAAGTCGGAGAGTTTCTAGTTCGTCAAGAAAAAAAAATTAAAAATAATAATAATTAAAAAACCAGCAAAACCAAGCAAATAAAAAAAACCCAAAAATTCCCAAGCAAAAAAACCCACTATTCCACTTTCCAATCCCAATTTTAGCCAACAGCTGGTTTGGGACAGGGGGTACAGTAGTGTCCATTAAGTATATATACATCTTTTGATGTAATAGCAGAGAGCATTTAAAAAAAAAATTCAAACACCCGAAACATTGTTCAATAGACAGAACTGGTAAAAGTGAAACACAGTTAGTTGAGCTGTGTTACTCAGAGCAACACAGCCAGCTTCTAGGGATCTATTCAAAAATCAATTGCCCTCAGTTTTACAGCAAATGGGGAGAGGTCACTGCCCCAAAGTGCTTACAGACTGGTCTTTCCCGGTTAGTTGCATGAACTCCCATCCCATTGCACTCAGAGCAATTCTCTGAAAGTTACTTCTTAGAATAAGCAAAATCATAGCCCTGTGGATATTTTATTGGACATAAAACAGGCACCTGAGAGAAGGGAAGAACCGACAAGCTGTTTGAGTATTAGGTTATCTCACTGTTTTAAAGCCAGAGACGTAACTTAAAAAAGATACTGTTCAGTAGCATGTATCTGAATATTACAGTCAGAATTTGTCAAGACTGGGGAACAAATGCTGTTGCCAACAAGCAAATCCTACTCCATCATTCAGAGTATGGAACCCCGTTATCATGCAGAGACTGGGAAAAGTCAAATAAAGTCTCATAACAAAGAAAAGCAAATTCAAGAGCTCCTCATCAAGAATGCTCTACTACCTACTGTTAAGAAAGGTTTACAGTCCCAGCTCCTGTCAGCAGACCTTGACTGGTGCTGTAACACACCACTACAGACAGGCAGGCTCAGGGAGCTAGAACAGGAACAACTTGGGGTTTGGGTTTTGTTTCGTTTGCTTGCTTTTTTTAAAAGCTCTCCCAGGAAAAAAACCCACAAAAGCCAGCGCAACCTTCGTGGCAATGGTAGAGTGTGCCTTTGTGGATATTAACGCTTCAAAGACAAGAGGCTAAATGCTGTGCCAGCTGAGGCATCCCAGGGATCTCCACACGGGCATGCACAGAACACAGGGAATCCATGTGGACCGCAGCCACTCTAGAGCCCGTTAAGTGACTTTCCAGCGTTCCCAAGCTGAACTCCTAAGTTCCACCTGCAAAGCTGATCACTGAATTAAAACCAGTGATTCTTATTGCAACCTGCAAGCACAGCAGCCTCGCTCCCCTCTTTGCAGTGCCATCTATTACACATCTTGGAGCGACACACAGATCTGTTGGATTCGCCGTTGGGTTGTGTCAGACAGTTCTGTGAATGGGAACCCAAAGTACCGTGGCAGTGCTGCTGCATGACATCTAAAGCTCGTGACAAAAGTGTAAGGTCTGTATTTTTCTATCCAGAAGCATAAAAATGGTCATTGCTGCCTTCCCACTACTCCCCAGCTGACGCTGCTGTCACAGCTCCTACACCACTCACAGACTCCCAAAATCTGTTTTTTCAGTTGCAAGGGGGAGGATGAGATCCAGCGACCTGCACAGGACTCCACTGAGAGTCTGTGGCAAATCTGGGAACGAATTCACACATCTCCTCTTGAGAAAGCACCATGAAACAAAGGCTGAGCCTTTACTGTATTTTCAGCTGACAGCTGACTCCCCTTAATCCAGGGTACATACATAAAGCAACAAAATAACATGACTGCAAATGACTAAAAGCAATGAAAACATCAGAGATTTTGGGTAGGAAACCTATAGTAGACTGTAAAGAGAAATCCTGCTGAAACTCTAATATCATCACCTGGTCAAAAAGCCTTAATCTGCAGTGTTGCTTATCACAGTAATGTATAGCCACAACAACAGGCTTATCCCCAGTCCCTCTCTTTGGCCATGTAAAGGACAAAGGCATAAAATCAGCCACAATTTCTATAAACTTCTTGGAACTCTGTAAAAAAGTTCAGAAGCATGAAGGGCTGTTCTAGGACTTTAATCTTTAGCTCGAGGGAAACCAGAATAAACTAGGAGTTAACACAGTTAAAGGCTTTAAAGAAAAAATCTTAATGTAAAAATTTTGTTGCCTGATAAGGAAGCGGGTTAGAGAGTGGAGGCTGACAGTCTCTGATCCAGGTTGATCTGTCCTGCACTGTCTGAAGGGAACAAGATGCCACAGAAACACAGCCAAACAAGTGAATATCTGAGCAGACTGCAGTAATCAAGCCTGATAATTCCCAAGGTATACGCTGCAAACATGAGGTTATTGTATTACAAAGAAAACTGCAGCTTGCATATACCCTTGCACAGCTTTTGAGATATTTGCTACATGAGGAAAGTAGACAGAGCCTTGTCATTCACATTGGTCAGCCCAAATCTGTCTTGTAGAGACAAGTGGAAAGGGGCAGACACCCCATGGAAGTAATGTTTGCAATCCTGCATGTCTGTTTTCCTGAGGCAGAGAGAGAAGGTGGTGCTGACATCCCACTGGTAACATCTTCAGATTAGGGATTCAATCTGCAGCAGCTTTTGAAGGGAAGGAATGCTTTTCTCCTCTGATAGATCTGATCTTTTTGCACTTTACTTGCAATGAAGCTGCTTCTATTTTAATGAAAGTTAAAAAAAAATAAATCCCCGAACTACTGCTTCACCATAAAAAAAAGTTACTCTTTTTTTGAAGTGTAGAAAGGTTCCAAACAAAATGAAGTCATGAAGTGCTTGACATATCTCCAAATTTGCAAAAGTCCTTTTCTTCACATGCCCTGTTTAAATCACTTAATTTTGATAACAGAACATTTTATTACATTTTTTTCTGTACTGTATAAACAGATCACCTCACAGACCATCTCTCTTCCCTTTAACATTCCCATAAGATCTCCAATGCAGTTGCACTTTTCAGATATGCACTCGTGTATTTTTAGCTCTCTCTTAATTTGGCAATAAGAATACCTGCAGCTTTCTGTCAGCCAGCTTTTCACAGGTTGCCATTTAAGTACTCATTTATTTCTTAGGACACAGGAAGGACCCTTTCAGAGGCTGACAGCACCCAAAAAAACACTGAAACTGCTCCCTGCTGAAATATCAGGTAGCAGTACACAGTACTGCTGCCTGTTTGCCCTCCTCTCCCCCTCCCTCAGGAAAGCAGAGCTTATGGAGCACTTTCAAGACATCATACTACACCCAGGTTGTAAAAAAAAAAAAAAAAGAAACAAAAAAAAAGAAAATCAAACCCAGCTTTCCCTTCAGTTCTGCAGAGTCCTACCAATGCTCTGCATCACAGAGCAGATCTGTTCTCAGAACAGAGAAATTTCAATGCCTAGTCTGTCACTGTCAAACAAACCCTTTTTATTTCACCCCAGTATGCTTTCAAGGGCTTCCTCTACCCTTCTCTCCGTCTCCTCTCTTCCTCTACCTCCAGTCCCCAAGATACTGCACATAAACTGCAGAGCTGTGTCAGGAATAAGACTTCTTCATCCCCATCCAGCACCTTTAGGATTTTTGAAGGGAGAACTTAACAACCTGACTTGCAGGTTTTCAGGATTTCTTTCCATCTCTCCAAATAAGTTCGATGCAATGGACTCCCATCCCTGTTTATTGTTATTACAGTGTGTTGAAACACTGTCAATTGATTTGTAAGTATGATTTCATAATAAAGAGGAAAGGATAGGCTCCTGAAGAAAGGCAGAGGAACAAAAATCCGTTTCACTCAAATCATCACCCTTCTCAGAAATGAAAGGCAGTGAAGATTTGACATAATGAACCGTATTTTGTCAGTGATTTAGAAGCATCTGTAAGCAGGATTAGTCCCTGATGGTGCCGAGTGTGGCACAAGACACACAGAACTCAGTTTCTGGTTTGCGGTACAGACGGGTTTGGGGAGGAAGAGTCAGATATCATTATGCACTGGATCACTTACAAACTTTTAAAGATCACTCTTCCCCCCTTTCTTGGAGGCATGCATGCAGTTCTACCAAAGACTGTACATACAGCAAGAAAGGGAAAACTTGCCTCTATTTAGAAAAATAATAAAATCAGTTTGCAGCAAATTTAGTATTGCTGCATCAGTCTTTAGAAGACAGCAAACTGACAGAAAACATGCAGTCAAGGAGAGAGTTAGAGGGCTAGTGAAGATAAAAAGAATACTTTTCTGATGCTTTCCCACTTTGTAGCTTCATTCTACAAGCATTCAGAGCGCCAATAATTTAGGACAATACACACAGAGACTTAAAAGAAAAAAAGTAAAGGTTTCAGAAGCTAAGAAACATTTCAGAACTCGCATGTAGCA